TGTTACCTCTAAGTACTTGAAGCAAATAATGGATTTTGGACAAAGTCCATAATAGATCTGACACGCCAAAACACAACACCTAACAATGTCCAAGTGTAACCAATGAAAGGGACTGCAGTATAGTGGCACAAGTAATAAATATCGAATCCACGGGTCTCTAGAGTTACTATTACTCAGCTTCAGTTCATTATCTAGCAAACTAGATTAAGGATTGATTTACTAAACTACTCTACTAACTACTCTACTAATTACAAGTTGGGAACTCACTTAGGTATGATTCCCCCTAGCTCCTCAATTAGGTCCAAGTTGCAATTACCTTTGGTTGTTCTACTGTTGATTAAACTGCGGAAGATCCGAAATTAGCTTGGAATCTCTTAAGCTGACCAAGCACTCTCAAACAGAATACCCGACAGACGACTAGCCTTCACCGGGATAGACTGCTAAGGCGATTCACACAGATCTCCACTACTGGAATGAATTCCAGTACAAAGCAGTAAATTGATTGACTCTCGCACAACCAATTCACCACTATCAATCAAGGAAGCTCTCTTAACCTAATCAGATTCTATCTATCATAGGTTAAAGCAGAAATCAAGAGAATTTAATCAAGATTCAATTGACTCAATAAATCATGCCTCAATCGATTATAATCAAACAATAAAGCATCCAAAACTTCATACAAGAAAGATCCTAACTCATGGAACTAGGGTTCCTCAAAACCTAAGTGAAGGGAAGTTACTCCATAGAGAAGAGAGAGACTGCAGAAATCTGATCTAGATCTTCCATCTCCATCTCCAAGCTTGATTCCTGAGCTCCAATGGCGAAGAAATCCTCCAAAATAGCTCCAAGAATGTTCCCAAGTCGCTCTCTCTCTAGGGTTCGTCCCTTGGGTGTTTGGGATCCAAAACCCAGCTCTCCTCCCTTCCTTTCGCTGAAAATCGGGTTTTAAACAACAATTCCCGACTCGCACGGCCAGGGTGCACGGCCATGCACATCACCATTCTGGCCGTGCACCTCAAAACGCGCCGTTTCATTAAGTCGAACCTCAACCAACTCGCACGGCCAGGATTGCACCTTGCACGGCCGTGCGTGGCCACTTGTGCCCGTGCGTGCCCACGCACCAACCCGCACGGCCAAAATTGTATGTTGCACGGCCGTGCGTGGCCACGCACAATCCCGTGCGTGGCCACGCACAATCCCGCACGGCCAAACTGGTCACTTGCACGGCCGTGCGTGCCCACGCACAATCCCGCACGGCCAGAATTATATGTTGCACGGCTCTGCCCGTGCAGCTTGCTCAGCCTCTGTTTAATGCTTCGTTTCTCCCTCGTCCGGACTCCGAATCAGTCGCCGTTTGATCCCAGACGCTCGTAGTCTCGTCCTCTTTCGTTTCATAACAAGCTTGCATGATTCTCTGTCCATAAAGTGAGGTAGAAATCCATTCTTCTTCAGGTCATGCCCGAGTGTCTTCTCCCAAATCGTCAATTGATCTCTGATTGACTTGAAACTTGCGCCTATGCTTCACTTTATGTGCTAGGACCTGAAATGTGACAAAGGAACACAACCTAGCGTAAAATCGGTCAAAGACACGGTAATTCAAGCTCAAACAATCAAGAAACAAAAGGGGAAAACATGTGCAAATACCGAGTCATCAAGATCCAAATCCATTCCCAAATCCATCAAGAAAACAACCCCTTAATATATTGGGAATAATGGCAGTAGTAGTTCTTGTTCGGTTGTTTCTAGTTCGGATAATTTTGGGAATTCAGTATGGGATTTGTGGCATAATAGGTAGGATCACCCTCATTCGGGGTGACTGGATACCATGTTTCGACATAATTTGTTACCGTATAAATGGGATGGGTTGAAATTTGATGGTATTTCGGATTGTGTGAGTTTGGAAGCTAAAGCGTCCCAATTGTCTTTTCTGACTAGTGATACAACTTATGATGAACCATTTGATTTAGTTTATACAGATCTTTGGGAACCATCTTCCGTCATCTCCAAAATGGGGTATCGATATTTTCTATGTTTATTATCACCACACTTGTTATACTTGGGTTTATTTCCTCAAACAGAAGTCGAAATTGATTGCAGTGGCCAAAGAGTTCGTACAGATGATTAAAACCCGATTCGGAAAGACCATTAAGGCGCTACAGTCTGATCTTGGCGGAGAGTTCATTGTTGCTGAAATTCTAGTTCTTTTCAAAACATAAGGTATTCTTCCGCAACAGTCTTGTCCTATGATATCTCAACAAAACGGAGTGGTAGAGCATAAGAACCAGCATGTCATGAAACTCACTCTAGCCATTCTGTCTTTTTCTCGAGTACCCATAAGTTTCTGGGTGGAAGCAGTTCATACTATTATCTATCTGATTAATCGTCAGATCACGCCTCTACTCGGTCAACAGTCTCCCTATAATGTTTTGTACGCCAAATTACCATATTATTCTTTCTTTCATGTCTTTGGGTGTACGTGCTTTGTCTCACTACAGAAGAAAGAACGATATAAACTATCCCCGAAGGTGGCGTGCTACATGTTTGTTGGCTATAGTGACAAACATAAAGGGTATATGTGTTGGGATCCTACCGAACAACGTATGCGGATAGCTTACCACGTCAAGTTCTGGGAACATCATATGCACTATCACTCTTCTCCTTCCGAAGCTAGTATTGCCGAGACTTTGGAATTTCTTACAGACTAGCCGAGTTTTGATACACCAATATTCTCGTCGCCTACTCTTGTGGTTGATACGAACTCGTCTAACACGAATGATGCGAGTGAGTCGTTATCCCCAGCTGTCACGCAACCCTCCACGTCGACCAGCACATCCTCCTCTTCATCTGGCTCCTCGAGCTCGTCCTCTGGGCCTTCCACGACTCCTGACACTTCCTTATCTCATTCCAAAGAGTCATTCGCCACTGATTCTAATCGTGACTCTCTCGTTCAGCCCTTGGTCCCGTTATCACGTTCCACTCGTGCCAACCTAGGACAGCCACTGGTGCGTATGAATGATTTTATTGGTATCTCCGCTGAGCCTACTTCCATCCCTCGATCCTACTCTCAAGCAGCCTGTGATCCATGTTGGAATTTAGCTCTGCGGGTTGGGATGAACGCTTTAGAAAAAAACCATACGTGGGATCTTGTGCCACGGGTTAAAGGGATGTCGGTGATTGGAAGTTGATGGGTAAATAGTATAAAAATGCATCCTGATGGTACAGTTGAGAGGTTTAAAGCGCGAGTAGTAGCTCAAGGCTTTATACAGGAATACATCATTGATTATGATAAGACTTTTGCTCCGGTGGTCAAGATGCAAACAGTTTAGTGTGTGTTTGTTGTTGCAGCTATGCAGGGTTGGCAAATGTTTCATCTTTACATGAAGAACGATTTTCTGCAAGGGGAGCTGTAGGACACAATATATATGGAACGACCGCCTGGATATGATTACGTCGATTCTATTATGGTTTGTAAGTTGGTTCACTCCTTGTATGGTCTCAAATAAGCATCTGGTGCTTGTTTGGGAAGTTTCATGCCACCATCATTCAAGCAGGTTTCTCTCAAAGCGGGAATGAACCGTCTCTTTTCACGCGTAATATGGTTGATGGGATTTTGGTTCTTTTGATCTATGTCAATAATACTATTGTTACTGGCAGCGACCGTGATGGCATTCGTGAAGTTAGTGCAGACCTGCGTGATTCGTTTACACTAAAGGAGATGTGAGAGGTGTCATACTTTCTGGGGCTTGAGATAAGTCGATATGCTCATGGTTTGTTTGTGTCACAGCAGAAGTATATTCGAGATCTTTTGGAATCATCCTAGTTTGATGCTTGTGTTCCTTGCTCTACTCCGATGGAGCAGAATTTGAAGTTGCGTCGAGATGATGGGGAAGTGTTAGCCGATCAGTAACAGTACGGAAGCCTAGTTGGTAGTCTTATCTACTTGATTCATACTCGACCTGACATTGCGTATGTTGTTCAGGTGGTTAGACAGTATATGCGAGTGGCTAATAACTTTCACTTGGCAGCGGTTCACAGACTCTTACGATATTTAAAGCAGATACAGGATGTGGGTATGTTTTTCCCAGTCGAGGGAGAACCAACTGTTGAGGCGTTTACTAATGTCGATTTTGCTGGGTGTGTGGATACCCGCAGGTCCACTTCAGGTTGGTGTGTACGGGTTCGGAAGTCTTTTGTGTCGTGGAGGTATCGAAAGCAAGATAGGATATCGAAGTCATCAACAGAGGCCGAGTATCGCTCTATATCAGAGGTCAGCTCTGAGATTGTTTGGATCCGACGTCTGATTGAGGAGTTGGGAGTTACATGTCGAGTTCCGATGTGTGTTTATGAGGATAACACTAGTGTTATACAGATTGTGATTAATCTGGTTCTGTATGACAGGACCAAGCACATCGAGGTTCATGTTCATTACATTAGACCGTTGGTAGCAGAAGGCATTATACAGGTTGGTTATCTGTTGACAAAAGACCAAACATTAGATCTTTTGACGAATGCAGTGGCTTCTAGTGGAAACTGGTACTTATCATCCAAATTGATGTTGCGCACCACACAATAATTTGATGGAGGGTTTGTGTACCAATCTGTAACTATCCTATTTAATTAGGAGAAGGGTAAAACCCTATATAAAGGCCACGACTGTTGTACTCTGTAGTTAAGCCGATATAGTGAAACCCCTTTGAGAGTGTCGTCTCTCATGTGGACTAGTCCTGAATCTCAAGGATGCCTTGTTAAATCTCGGTGTTCTTTATTGTTTGCTTGATTCTTTACACATAGTTGGAATTATCGACTCTGGCGTCTGATCGTAATTACTTAGTTTTGATGAACACGACCTTGGTCCTGCACTGGCCAAGTAGAAAGACGCTTGCAAAGGAACACAAACTTCATATGCAACAAGTATAGATTCTATTATATAGTCGATCCATATCAAGTTAATGAATCTCCTCCCTTAACACTAGTATTATTTTTTTATTTTCTCCGGGAAGATGATCGGAGCTCGATATTACTCCATGACTTCAGAAAGGGATGTCGATGGCCATGGGAGCCACACAGCTTCGACTATTGCAGGGAGTGTTGTTCCAAACGCGAGCTTCTACAAGCTGGCGAGCTGGGCGGCAAGATGATGGGTTCCCATAGTGAGGATGGTTGCCTACAAAGTATGCGACCACAACGATTGCTTGTCAAAACATATTCTCGTCGCTTTCGACAATGCCATCACATACGGGTCAATGTCATCTCCATTTCTATTGGCGCGACCACCGCACATGTGTTTTTTTACGAAAAAACTTGCGTTGAACAGAATTTGATTACACCCTTGACTTCTTTGGATAACGATTTCTAAGACAAGGCTCATATCTCTTCAAACAAAGTTCAAACGAGGGTGTTTGATGAATTTTTTTCTTGGAATGAAACTAAATTAAATGACTCTACTCCTATGGAGTTTCAGTGAGAGCTCCAAACTAAAAGCTATGTCTATGGCTACATTATAGAGAAAAGGTGAAGGATAAACTTGACATGTGTGTCAGAGTATTGGTTTTAGGAACCCTTGTCTCTGTCGACCCCTCCTATTTATAGAATAAAGAGGTAACCACCATAGAAAACTGTTTGTTGCATAATTGCTATGAAGAATCACTCCCCCTTTTTTGGAGTGATGGTTACTCCCTCAACCTCCTAGGTGCCTCTCTTGGAACTGTCGTGGGTCTTGAAATGTAGCTTGCCAAGCCTGGTCTCATTTCAAATCTCATGTCATGCTATTCTTTTGATAAACCTGTGGTGTTAGGGGATCATGGTCCTCTTGCCTCGTGGCCATGGAATTCTAGATCATGTACATGGCCCTTATGGGACTTAACCGAATGACTAGTAACATAATGCTCCACTCCCACGCTCTTATCACTTGTGCCCATTGTCCCTCTCGCGACACAACATGGACCTCTCAATCATGGCCATGGCCTTTCTGACGAAACAACCATGGCCTTCCCATACATAGTATATTTTTGGGCGTCCAATCTTGGTCATGACACTTGATCTCATAGAAAGACCTCTTCATTCGCGGCTCTTCTCAATCTTGTCCCTGGCCCTTCCCGTGACACGACATGGCCTTCTTATTATTTTTCAATCATTCCCATGGCCTCTTGTCCTGCGTCCATGGTCTTTCTCGTGAAACGTTATGGACCTCTCAGACTTACTAATTTTTTGTCTTCTTTGAGATATGCTTCTTGAGGTTCATGTTTTATTATTCTTGTGACATGGCATGGCTTTGCCTGTTACGAGAGGGTCATGTTCTTATTGAATCATGTCCATGCTTACTATGATTTAGTGGTTTGGGCTTAAAAGTCCAAATCCATGGGGCCCAGCCTAAATAACATTAATTGTTCTAATTGATATGGCCTTATAAGATCACTAATCAACTTGTAACTCATCAGTATGGTAAAAGATTATTTTGAGGTGTAATAACATGACATTTAAATTGCGGTCAAATATACGGTACGCCCCAATCTCAGCAAAATGCCTACCTAAGCAATTTGGTTTGACCGCACCAATTAAATTGCAGCCAACCGTATGGTGCGGTCCAAATAACATGTGGTGTTGTGCAGTTTGTATCAATACGGTGTAGTACGATCCAACTGCACCACTTGCCCACACCTACTACAAAGCATGACAAAACAGAACGAACTCTCCCATGAGATGTTTCTTTTGGGGATGATTAAAAGGTACAAGATGTTTATACCTGTGTACGTAGGATGGAAATCCTTACAACATACAAGCAATGGGGTGGGTTGTGAAAGGAGGGTTTGTAGAATTTAGTTTGTTGTAGAAAATCAAATGTAGATTGGATTGATACATTTACAGAGTTATTATACAAGTGAGGTGAGAGAAAGAAGGAACAGAATAAACCAACGTTCCAGATAGATAGGAACTGAATGTAGTGGGAAAAATAAAGAAATAAAAATTCTTTTATTTTAAATCATCTCTAATACACCCCCGCAAGATGGAGGAGGTATCAACGACTCCAAGCTTGGAACGTAGCAAGAGATATCTGGTAGTAGGGAGTGGTGTGGTGAGAGCGTCGGGAAGTTGATGCGTAGTAGAGACATAGGCCACGTGGAGGCAGCCTGCCTGAAACAGCTGACGAACAAAATGATAGTCCAGAGCTAGATGTTTCATGCGAGAATGAAACACCTTATTGAAACTGAAGTATGTGGCACCACGATTGTCGGAGTAAAGAACAAGTGCAGTCGGCAGAGTGTGATGGAGCTCTTTAAGAAGATTCTGAACCCATTCAAGTTCAACCGTGGCATTAGCAATGGCACGGTACTCGACCAAGGTACTGGGACGGGCGACGGTTCGCTGGTTTTGGGAGTGCCAAGAAATAAGAGTGGAGTCGGATAGATCAAATACCCACACGTGGAGAAGCGATGTCAAGATTTCCGGCCCAATCAAAGGCGACAAATGCGAAGAGGGACATGGAGCTAGAAACGCGATGGATAGAGAGGGCGTAGGTGAGAGTACCGAAAATTTAGCGCAACAAACGTTTGACACACTGCCAATGATGAGATGTGGGTGCATGCATATATTGAGAGAGCTTATTGACAGACTAGGAAAGGTTTTTGACAAGCGTAGAGAAGATATTGAAGAGCCCCGAGCACCTGAAGCCTGCTCAAAACTGTCGACGATGCTGAGATCATTGCAGTGAGGAGCAAGGCATCAACATATACCAGGAAATAGAGAAGAACATTGTCGCGAGAATAGACAAAGACAGGCGTCCGAATGAGTTCTCACAAACCCAATTACCAGGACCGAGGAGCCTGACGAAGACCATAAATTGCACAGCGAAGACGACAAACATGAGTAGGCCAAGAAGAATCAATAACCCAGGCGGCTGAACCATATAGACTTCCTCCTGCAAAGGACCCTGAAGAAAAGCATTATTAACATCAAATTGAGCGATGGACCATCCTTGAGAGAGAGCCAGGGTGAATACTGTGCGAATGATGACATGTTTAACCACCAGACTGAAAGTGTCTGTAAAGTCGAGACCAGGTCATTGATTATAGCCCTTGGCCACTAACCGAATCTTGAACCGAGCAATAACCCATCAGAGTGATGCTTGACGTGAAAGACACAACGATGACCAAGGACGTTAAAATGTGGTTATCAAGGAACTAAATCCCAAGTAGAATTGGCGAGAAGAGCCTGCTGTTCACCCGAGAGGGCATCGGACCACTCAACATTGCGAAGGGCTTCCTATACATTGAGAGGTTCAAGGGGCGGAAGCGGGTGGGCCAATTGAGTGTGGAAGAGGTGCTTTTTGGGCCTGAAAATGCCATGCAAGGCCCGTGTCTGCATCTTATGTGTGCGGAGAAGAGGGGGAGGCTGGGTAGGCACTGGCGGAGGCCCGTTCGGCGGGGTCTGTGGCCCATCAGTCGAAGAGGCCAAAGAAGATGGGCTAGAGGAAGGCGGCCCATTGGAGAGATCTGGTAGGAGAGTCGCTGACGCTGAAGGGAGTGGGCCAGGCAGCGGTCCATGTTGAGTTGTGCCTGTGAAGAATGGAGAACGACCTGCAATAGTGGAAATGGTTGGGGGGAAAATCCATGATCCAAGAGGCTAAGGTGGATGAGTCAACGGAAGATGAGTGGTGATAGCCTGGAAAGGAGGACTCAACAAAAATAACATGACAAGAGAGAAATATTCGTTGAGTGTCGGGATCAAAACAATGGTAGGCACTACGTTGAGGACAGTAACCAAGAAAAAGACATGAACGAGAGCGTGGATCAAACTTGTGAGAGGAGTATGGTCAAAGTCATGGATAACAAAGACAACCAAAAAGAAGAAGCTTGTGATAATTAGGAGAGAGATTGAAAAGAATGGTGTAAGATATTTTACCACGTCAGGCAGAAGACTGGAGTCGATTGATAAGCTAAATGGCAGTGTAAAAGGCAAAAGACCATAAAGAGGTGAGAAATTTAGCATGATGAAGAAGATTAATACCAGTTTCAAGCAGATAGCGATGTTTTCGTTCAGCAAGCCCATTATGTTCGGGAGTATGAGGAGGAGTGAGAAGATGGGTTATGCCATGAGTAAGAAGATCATAACGGAGTTTTTGGAAGTCTCCGCCCCCATCAGTGTATAAGCGCCGAATGGTAGTTGAGAAATAATTTTCAACCATTATCCTAAAGTCAAGAAAAACTTGTAGAACATTAGACTTGTTTCGCAATGGATAATACCACGTATGTCAAGTAAAATGATTAATAATAATCAAATAATAGCGAGAATAATTAATAGAGGAAACATGTGTGGGTCCCCAAATATCAGTGTACAAAAGATCAAAAGGTCTAATGCTTGATAAAGAAGAAACAGAAAAAAGGGAGTTTATGGCTTTTATTATAAAGACATGCATCACAAGAAAAGCTACCAACGGAGGATGAAATTGGAAGAGAATAGGACCGAATGAGACTAGTGAAGGATTGATGGGAAGGATGACCCAGACGAGCATGCTAGGAGGGTGCATATGTGTGAGTTGTTACTAAAGCCATTCTCACATTCTCCACTTCACGAGGTAGCTCATAAACATCACCGTGTTTTTCCCCCTTCAGCAATTGCGCCCCCGTGCGGAGATCCTTCACAATAAAATGAGTGGCAAAAAATTTCACAAAGACAAGATTAGTTTGAACAATTTGGCCACAGAAATGAGATGCTTCTTGATACTTGGGACGCACAATATATCTTGTAAATGTAAGACATGAGATAACGGAAATAAAGGTGGAACCAATATGAGATATAGCTAAACCTGATCCATCACCCACAATAATCTCATCTGGGCCTGTATAATCTGAATAAATGGAGAGTTGGTCCAAATTTGGAATTACATGATGGGAAGCTGCATAATCCATAAGCCATGGCCCATTAGCCTGAGAAGAAGAGCTCGCAGTGGATATGGTATGATGCACCTGCCCTTGACGGGCCTGATACATCATTTAACCAACCTTTATGGAATTGGTTGGAAATGTATTGGCATGAGCCGTTGATGTCTTCGACCAAGTGACTCTCTTCCCTATAAAAGAGAACTAAGAAGACAAGGAGAAGACACTCCAATACACAACTTCTCTTCCCCTCATCTCTCTCT